TTCTTATATTTTTATACATGTTGACACAAAAAAAATCTTATGCTTTCATAATATGATTGATAGGGAATATCACTCTGTTTCTGTTCCTATTTGTAAGTCATTTATTCTAAACTCGCAATTTAAAAATAAAATACCTAAAGTGATAATTGTTTCATATTAATTTATCCTTATTAAAAAAATGGTATTAAAAATTTTTGTATTTTCTCTCAATTGTTTAAATCAATAGGGATAAAATTGAAAAATTCATTAATTATTCTATAAGTAATTTATATTTAGGAATAGAATTATTTTAGGGAGAATTATAATTAAGTCTCCACAGAAGAGAAATAATTACTAAAAGGTCTTAATATAACCTGAGCAGCCTGTAATAACAAGTCTTACGGTGAAGAATAACAACCTTTGGGACTTGTTTTGTTTTTTTTTTTTTCATAAGACTTGATTGTAATTCTCCTTAAAATTTATTATAAATGACTTATGAATGGAAACAAGGTTATACCTTTCATCATAGCTTTGCAAGATACATCAAGTGTTTTATGGCAACTTCATTATATATCTTCTATATATTCCACATCGTTGTATATGAAATTTAAGGACCAAAGTTTCAAATGATCTGAACTATGAGATTGAGTTGTAATAGACTCAAGTTTAGAAACCGAGTTACAATCCAGTAAAACTATAGGAACTAAATTACACTGAATTAAAGTTTAAGGACCGAGCTACAAATAAATCAAAATTACAGGAACTGAAAAAATTAATTTTCTAAAAAAATATAGGTTTTAAGCACTATTAGGGAATTATACGCGCGTAAATTGAATGGGTCTTTGGTTTTACAGTTGTAATCACAAGTGGTGTAGCTCATGTACGAATTGCTTTTAAGAGCATGATATTCTATATGCTTTTAGATGGATTGACGCTTAAATAAAGACTTTTTGCCACTATTTTCCAGAAGGCGTGAGAGCTGAATCCTTTTAGTCAAGCAAGTAATCAACTTTTTAACCCATTCTTTCCATATCCAATGATCAACCTTAGCTACCAGGAAGAAGCTTGTTTTCATTTTTAACTAATAAGCCCTTCCAGCCATCACAAAGCCGGCTTTATCCTTCCATGCAACACTCGCCGTACGTCCTGGCCTTACTACTATATATATATATATAGATATATTTTCTTACATAAGAAGGGCTTAATAAAAAATATTTTTTAAATAAATATATATGTAATACGGATTAGTTCAGAATCAATATTAATTTTTAAAAGATTACTTTTTTATTAAGAAATTATCAATAAATTCACTCCAAAAAAAAAAGTCTTGTGAATAAATTCAAAATCGTGATCTATCAATAAAGGCATTTTGATTGAATGAAATTGTCAACGAGGCTTGACTTAATTAATTGAACGGAATTTAGACCCAGCTTTACGTTTTCATAGTCAAACAATATTATTTTACGTTTCCTACAAGGTTTCAACTTTCAACCCCCCCACGTCCCAAAAAAAAAATGTAAGTATTCTTTTATCCCTCCACATTTAAGTAGTTTGGGTTGTAATTAACGAGAGAGAGAGATAGATATGTGTGTGTGTGTGTGTGTGTGTGTGTGTGTTTTCGTGTGCTACTGCTACCTTGCATATATGTTCATGACTTGGCTCATAAATTATGCTTTAAGATCCTGTACCAACATTAGAATTTACAAGCATCGATGATAAGTTTTTATTACAACTCTTAAATAATAATAATAAATATTAGTATTAATTCATTAACATACAATCTAAACAAATGTACATGAAATTAAATTGTTTATTATAAATACTACACAATAACGAGTTGATTTAATATAAAATTGATTATAGTAAGACGCATTAGATTTTACTTACTACTATTTTTGGCGGCAAATGTGGGACCAGACCACACCATCCCATATGCTTCATTTGACCAATCCCATACCTGAGTCCGAACCGGGGTTAGGTTCGGAGGTTTATCGCACACGGCACGTGTGGTTTTGCGACAGCTAAGCAGAGGCCCTCATGTCGTGTGCTTCTCTCTCTCCCTCCCTATATCTCCTTTCTCCTCCTCATAAAAAAATTAACCAAATCCCAACATACCTTACCAGAATTTGCAGTGCTTCCAGATTCAGCCTTACTTTCTTCTTCTTCTTCAAGACAAATTAAGCATATTGGAATCTTTCTTTAAAGCCTGAGACTTAGTATGTCTGTGAATTTAGAGCCGTTGGATTCAGGAGTGCAGATCCCTTACCACTTCAGGTGCCCCATTTCCCTCGAGCTGATGCGGGAACCCGTTACTATATCCACGGGTCAGACCTATGACCGAACCAGCATAGAGTCGTGGTTCGCCGCCGGCAATACCACCTGCCCCGTCACCAGAGCGCCGCTTTCTGATTTCACTCTCATCCCAAACCACACTCTTCGCCGCCTTATCCAAGACTGGTGCGTCTCAAATCGCGAGTTCGGAGTCGAACGGATCCCAAGTCCGACCCAGCCCGCCCACCCTTCAGTGGTACGGACCTTGTTGAATCAGGCATCGTCGGAGAGGAGCACTTCTCAGTCACGTATCTCTGCGCTGCGACGGCTTAGAAGATTTGCTGCTGACTCGGACAAGAATTGTTCGCTCATTGGATCTTACAACGTGCGCCGGATTTTACTCCATCTCCTTTTTGATCCCAATTCGGATTGTTTTGAGTTGAAGCACGAGTCGCTCGCGCTTTTGGTTTGTTTTTCACTTGCCGAATCTGAATGCGTCTTCGTCGCATCGGAGCCGGAGAGAATCAAGTATTTGTCGCGTTTGATGTTTCATTCCTCCATCGACGTCCGAGTTAACTCGGCTGCACTGATTGAGACCGTCGTGAGCGGGACTCGTTCGCAGGAGCTGCGTGCACAAATCAGCAATGTCGATGAAATCTACGAAGGAGTGGTTGACATCCTGAAGAGTCCGGTTTCGTCCCCTCGGTCTCTCAAGGTTGGGATCAAGGCCTTGTTCGCTTTGTGCCTGGTGAAACAAACACGACACAAAGCGGTTGCCGCCGGAGCTCCGGAGATCCTCATCGACCGGCTCGCTGATTTCGAGAAATGCGACGCCGAGAGAGCTCTGGTGACGATTGAGTTACTCTGTCGAATTCCTGAGGGGTTGGCTGCGTTTGCAGGGCACCCGCTGACGGTACCGCAGCTGGTGAAACCAATACTGAAGATATCCGACCGGGCGACAGAGCACACCGCCGGAGCACTATGGGCCCTTTGCTCAGAATCGGAGGAGTGCCGGAGGAAGGCGGTGGCGGCGCGTGTGCTAACGCCCCTGCTATTGGTGGTACAGAGTGATTGTACAGAGAGGGCAAAGAGGAAGGCGCAGATGTTGCTGAAGCTTCTTCGGGATTCGTGGCCGCAAGATTGCGGCGGAAACTCCGACGATTTTGCATGGAGCGAACTCGTAGTACCGTTCTGAGTTTTTGACGATGGTGCTTCTCTTTGGCATAATCTCAAAAACTGACTCCCAAATTTCCATTTTTCTTATCGCAGTTTCAGGTAAAAGCAGATAGATCATGATTCAGTTTTAGGTTTATGAGTTTATCATCAGTACATAATACTTCATGCAATTTTTTTTTTTTTTTTGGGTTACGTTCATTCATTCATTTTATGTAAGAATTTGCTGGAAGTAAATAAAATGTTTTACTTTTGTAGAGACATTAATCTCAAGTGGTGGTAAATTTTTTTTGCATCTATACGTTCATCATGATTACGAATGAGTAACTTATTTTCCAGTTTGCCGAAAAATTATATGTGGTGCTATGGGGAAAAATTTTTCTGTGTTATAAAACTAAACAATTAGTAGAGAATAAGAGAAGGGAATAAGGGATAATAGAAGAGAGAAGTATTTCTCATTCTATTCAAGGTGTTGAATATATGATACATTGTCTCTATTTATAAGTACAACCTTACATCTTTGACAAAATCTACAAATTACATAATAATATGAGATAATTATAGGATATAAAAATAATTGCGGGAGATACTAGAGATGGTAGAAGATATATGAATATTCACAAAGATATTATTATATTCATAATGCTCCAATCTCCATTAGATGTCCATTATATATGAACGTGTCTCATTAAAAAAACTTCAAATTAATAATGTAAAATTTGAATATTACATAAAATAATGAGAAAAAGTAAATTCTTGCACCTTATGAGATAAATATGAATCTCCACAAAAAGTGCCGAAAATTATATGTGGTGTTATGGGAGAAAATTTTTCAATATGTTATAAAACTAAAGAAATGGTGGAAAATAAGATAAAATAAGATAAGAGAATAAGGGAGAATAGAAGACAGGAGTATTTGTCATTCTATTCAAGATGCTAAATACATGATGCATAGCCTCTATTTATAGGCACAACTTTACATCTTTGATAAAATTGATGGATTACATAATAATAGAAGATAATTATGAGATATAAAGATAATTGTGGGAGATATTGGAGATGATAAAAGATAGAGGAAATAATGGGAGAGATATGGACATCCACAAAGATATTATTATATTTATAACACTTCCTATTAGATGTCCATTTTATATGAACGTGCCTCATTAAAAAAACTTCAAATTAATAATGTAAAATTTGAATATAAATATAAAATAATGAGAAAAAGTAAATTCTTGTACCTTGTAAGATAAATGTAAATCTCCATTGTAAGACCATATCTTCTTTCAACAAATTAGAGTTATATTGAATTAATATAGCTAATAGCTATTTTATTATTGTGATTTACTACACATTATGTCAATTAATATCAAATTGAGATTATCATAATAATAAGAATAAAACTAAAGCTTTACATAGATAAAAAAATCTAAGAAAAGTAAGAAAAATAATACATATCCACATATCTTTGTGTGACAAACAAGAATTTCATAAATGAACATAGCACAACATCGTTTATCATCGTCAAGAACTTCTTGTAATATAAGATATTTTAACCAATAACCTTTTGAGTTATATTATCTATATTTTTCAAAAAGTCTAATTATCATAATTTTTCTCTATGTAAACAAACCACATAGTGATCCAAAATCAAAACTATATGGCTTCTAGCTGTTTAATGAGATAAAAATTCAATATATATATATAGCTTATAACCATTTAATCTCAAGATAGAAAATCACACACACACACATATATATATAGTTTCTAGCCACTTAATCTCAAGATAAAAAATCAAATATATGGCTTCTGACCACATAAGATAGAAAATTGAAGCTGTATAGCACCTGGCCATTTAATCAGATAGCAATTCAAAATTATATGCATTTCGACTATAACATAGAAAATTAAAGTCGTATGGCATAAGTATGATGGATAATGGCCATTTAATCTCAAATTTATATGAACAAATATATCTCCAACTTCAATAATGAATCTAATAGTAAACCTTTAGAGATACTGTAAGTATCAAATGAATTTATATTAATTGTTAGCATTTGAGCTTTCTGAGGATTTATCCCTATATCTTGTGGCTTTTTGGTTTCATAACAATTTTTGTTATTTATTGCCAGCATTTAAGCTTTCTAAGGGTTTACCCCACATCTTGTGACCTTTTGGCTCCACAATAAATTTTGCCATTTATTACTAGCATTTAAACTTTCTTAGGGTTATTCCCATATCTTGTGGCCTTTTGGTTCCACAACGAATTTTGTCATATACTTTTAATAAACATATTCATAGGGCATTTGCTTAAATATGACTTCTAGCAATATTGTAACCATTACTCCCTAAAATCTTTTTCAATTTGAGTATTAGCCATATGTAATCATAAATATTGATTGGAACTTCAGGTTCTATCAAAATTAGTGACGTTAGATCACCAGGGGATGTATAAAAAAATATCAATTGAAACTTCAAGTTCCATCGAAAATAGTGGCATCAGGCCACCAAGAAATAAATACAATAAATTCCTCGTATCACAAATGATTCAAAAGGTATAATATTCACATCAAAAATAAATTATAGTGCAAAAATGTAAAGTAATAATAATCTCTGATCTTAGTTATAAAACCCGGTGTTTAAAACAATAGTAAATAATCCTTTTAATTTCATATAGTAGTTTAGATTATCCTAAATAAATTGAATAGGGATACATATACTCTGAAACACTATATATATGATGCTTGAGATATTTTCATTTGAATACTCTAGGAAAATCATAGAAATTAAACTATGTTCTAAAGTTATACTAAGAATCAAAGGTATATCATACGTAGCTTATTTAGAGTTTCATGCTGATAACGTCTTATAAAACTAAAAAAATAGTAAAGAATAAGAGAAAAGAATAAAAGAGAATAGAAGATAGGAGTACTTCTCATGCCATTCAAGGTGCTAAATACATTATATATGATCTCTATTTATAGGCACAATTTTACATCTTTAACAGAATCTACAGATTATATAATAAGAGATAATTGTAGAATATAAAGATGATAAGAGATACTAGAGATGATAGGAGATAATAAGAGATATATAGACATCCACAAAGATATTACTATATTTATTACACGATAGGTAAAATTTGAGTAAATTGATTATTGTTTTATCTTTGAAAGATGCTCTTTTTTTTTGGGGTAAAATCTACCTTCTATTACCAATTTAAAAATTTTGAAATTATGAGTTATCTGAGAAGGAAGCTAAGGGCCTATTTGGGTGCCCCCAAAATCATGGTTTGGGTGGGATGTCACCCAAACAACATCAATTTTGGAGAAATAATTCGAAACCATGGTTTGGGCCAAAACCATGGTTTCAGAAGAAGTGAATCCATTTTGCTTCTGGCTCAAATTGGAGAGTATGATTGTATCTGTCAAAGTAGATCTCGACAATAATATGACTTTAACACCCCTCAATTATTTTTTATAAGCATATTTAATCTTATATCTTATAAATATATATACACATATTAATTATTTATTAATTATATTATCTTATGTATTATTAATTATGTTCGTAAAAAAATATATTATTAACAATTTTATTCCTTCAAATTAAAATATATCAATAAATCTACCTTTTATGTAATTATTATATTAACTTATGCTTTTTTTTAGTAATTTGTACGTATAAAAAGTGTTTCTGATAACAACTATCCAAACACTCTTACTTCTCAGAATCTATTCTTCACAAAATCTATTCTCTGAAGAATCTATTGTCCAGAAATTATTCTCCAAACCATGGTTTTGTTTCATCCAAACACCTCCTAAGTAAATATAATTATGCAGCTTGATTTGTGAATACTGAATATTATTCTTGGGACACTATGATTTGGCTATTCATAATTGATTGTTTGAGTTACACAGACGAATGTAATGTTTTAGAAATAACAGGTCACACACTAGTTGATACTACCTCTAATTTCAAGTTGTTGGTGTTTATCCTTTTTAAATAAAACAAAAGAATAGTTTTCGCATGCCTATTGATGGTCACATTTCCTTTTTCGTTCAATCACGTCACAGCACTAGTGTTGACCATTTCAAACCAACCAAAAGGGAGGGAGGGGGGGACTCTATTAGATTATATTAGATGATTACAAATCCAACACTCAATCATTGGGCCACCAAATTATAATCAACATTGAAACCGTATAATTAATCCAAGAAAGCAAAATCAAAATTCGAATGTTTATGTGCATATTAAATTTAAAAAGTTTGTTTAATAATGAATTTATTTTCAAATTCAAGGAATCTAATTAATAAATTATATATTTTAAATTTTTGATGATGGCTCTAAGAAATGGGAAAGGGGTTTGATGATATATACAAAGGTAGCTTTCAAACGGAAGGAATGAAAAGTACAAATATGATGTTGGAAAAAAGAATCACAAAAAAAAGGGACATTATATTATGTTTCCCATTTATTTCGTAGTGTGCTGGCTACTGTGCTAACGCGTCTATCACATTCCTAACCCAACTTTTGTTTCGCTCCTCTGTCACTAACTCTTACCATTTTCGTCCTTTTCAATCTATTCTTGCTCGGGACCCTCTCCTTTGAAAATTCATTTTTTTTTTGTTTCAGAATATTTAAAATTTTTAAAAAAGACATATTAATTTAATTTAGTTATGGTGATATTCAACAATATTATCTCATCGTCGGTGGGGTAGTCACTTGACACGATATAACATGATGGTTGGATTCTGAGCTGGGGACACGGATTTGAAATATGATCCTAATTCATTATTATTCGTTGTATACTCAGTCTCCAGATCATTAGGAGCCGTTTGTACAAATAATGGACTGGCACACAATTTTGAGAACATAAAATTAGCCCCCTCTGTGTGTGTGTGTTTTTTTTTAAATGTAAGAAATATATATTAGCTAAAAATAATTGCAAAAATACAAGAGACATAATGGAAACAAGACTATACATTCTTAATTGGAACTGGACAAGTCAATTTTGTTTTAAAATTATAAATATTCTCTTATTAAAAGCAATTCTATTCGAAATACTATTGAATACTAAATATAAGATCTCTCATAATGAGAATTTAAATCTTGATTTGCTATCCCGTAAGTAATTTCCGTTAGACTTATTTTCTGGTTATAAAACATGTCAAATTTAAGTAACTTCATAACTAAAAATAGTTTCTTTTTCCTAAATCAAGTGAGGTTCAAGAGTATATACTGTTATTTGATGGCTAAAAAACAAAGAATATACTTTTATCATATTATTACCATAGATAAAATATATTTGTGGCTATTGGTTATAGGAAATACTAAGAGGTTAGATACAGTACAAAATACAAGCTGTTCACTCACAGACTCATAGGAGTAAGTATATATTCAAATAATAAGGGGTGTAATATCAAAGATGTCAATTAATTAATGACACATATTGCGAGGTTGAAATTTCATACATTAATTTAAATGATTGGAAGGTGAGATATAGCTGTTGGTTTTGGTTTCCACTTTTGGGGGTTTAGTGGAGCTGAAGAGTCAAATTAATTTTATTTCTCTAGTTCATGGATTGCCATCATTCATTGGTAAAACGTTCAATTTATTTTAAAGTGATCTAATTTCCTTTCATCCCTTTCGTTCATTTTCATACAACACTTAACATTCTACTTGTATAATAACCTACTGATTTAGATTAAGAATAGAAAGAATCTAGCGTGACAATGACAGAGATCCTTCATGGAGTGACTGCTAGCCTTTCGTCCTTGTTTTGTTAGCCCTAAATTCAAGTATCCAACAAAAATAGATAAGCTAAATCATTTAAAAAAAAAAACCCTAAACTTCCAAGTTATGCACAAATAACCTTGATCACGAAAGGGATTATTCGCCCATATGATTTAGAGATTATTTGTGTATAACTCAATATAAAATATTATCTAAGCAGAAGAAATTCCAAGGCCGGATTCATGATTAGCAAAAATATTATGCTAAGTTTATTGAATAATTAATAGTAGCAATTCAATCAGTTGTGTAAGTGTTCATGCAATGCTGAATCATAAATTAATAATGTGCTATATTATTACTTGCACAAAATAATAATTTTGTGAAGATTACAAAAACATCTTTGTAGTACAGAACCTCTCAGCATTTCAAAGATAATTTTGAAACCTCAATCTTTTTTCATCTCTTATAAAATTTTGATTCTAATTACTTCAATACATGCCATCAATAAAGGTGATTAGTAATATAAATAATTAAAAAGTAGGAGTTTGTAAGAAAACTGTTTTTAAATAACTAATTTGGTTATCTATTTCTCGCAGGTTTCCCAAGTAAACTTCGTTCAAACCACTACCTTCCTCCATGAAAGTATCCTCTTTCAGCTTCTTTATATTCCTACCCAGGGCAGCTTCCTCTTCCTTCGTAAGACCATCGCCAACAGCCTTGGCTGTGAAACCTGTCGCAGCATCAGAGAAATTTTACCTTCACTCATACTCTCCCAATCCTCCCATTTTGTACTTCTTTTACTCAGAGCATGGGTTCCTATCAAGAAAATCTTGACTCTCTACTCATGCAACGAATTACAGCCAGAAGTTTGAGCAAAACAACATACAAATTCACATCCCTGTCTATATTATGTACATGCACATGTAGAATATACTCCTATGAATCTTCTTAGATTGTTCTCATATGCCTCTAATTAAGTAGATTGCTAAGTAACTGATTTGGGAGGAGTATGTTTCCCTTGCAGTTGCAGTACAGACCATGGGGGCCGCTTATTGTGTTCCTGCACATTGATCATATACAAAATTAACGTTGAGTTGGTTTTAGAAATAAAATCTCTCGCACAGGAAGGGACTTTGGATTGAATCCCTCTTCGAATATGAATGGGCAAGCTTATGGACAAAAGAGCTTCAATTCCCATTATGTAAAACTGTATTGGATCAAGATAACAAAGCTACTATTATAAAATTAAGAAGTTTCTCTCAGAAGTAAGACAGACAACCTCTCCTACTAGGCTAATACTGAACTGAAAAGTATCACAACGACTCAACCATCAAGGGCAATTCATGAAAGGCTCAAGTCATGCTATGTTAATAGTACAAATGTTGTATATTATTCATCCGGTCCTTAATGTAAGACTTATTTAATTAATTTGATTAGACTAAGGAAGTTAGATAAGTTAGTTAATTATAAAAAATATGACATGTTTTTCCTAAAACACTATAATTATCTTTCTTAATATCGTTTCTTTCCCTTCTACTTGATTATGGTTGAGGAAGTACCAATAAGAGTAATTAAGAACAAAATTAAAAAATATGAGAAATGGATTTTACATTTAGAGCCAAGATCAACTCAACAATTAGATCCTATATGAAGGACCGGTTTCTTTTCTAGAAAATTGTTATGATCAATTCCTACTTTGTAGGCTTATCCAAGGGTAATTTTTCATACTTCTGGCTGGGGGTGGGAGTGGGGCTGCACTCTTATCTATCAGAAAAATATTTGCAGGTTAAACACCACCATACTATACTTTAAAAAGTTGTTTCCAGTTAAATTCTGAACGCCTGGCAACGACGACAGAAACTCATCAAAATGCGTCTAAATAGAAGGATAGCAACTAAAGCTATAAACAACTAAAACACCTCAATTTTCGTCACAAATTGGCAGGAGCAACACCTAACTTGTGAAGCGCCATACGGGTACATTAGCAGAACTGCACAGCTTCCACACTTGACTTGCCCAACCTGATCAGCTGTAATAAAGGATTGCCTTACCAAAATCAATAGCTTGCCACAAAAACAAAATGCAAAAATATAGAATAGAGTTTCGCAAAATATAACTTAAAATGTAAGGAAGAAAACATGTATGGCGCAGAATTTGCTTATTCCTATGTAATAACTAAGGTAGGATTTGCATCAGTTGTATAATTGCTTACAGCATGATTGATGTAGCCAAAATGCATAAAACTGATATCAAAATGCAAAGGTGAGACTTGCAATTAGGATGGACAGAAGAAAAAGGAAAGAGAACCAACCTTCCAACACAAGGTTTATCGTCTGACAGCAGGAACACTTGACATGTCTAGCACCTCGTGGATATGAAAGAAGGCGGCGACAAGAACCACAAACCATTTGAGCCATTTCTGTTGGAATAGCTTGCTAATGAGAGTTATGAAGTTAATTCCATCTAAAAGTGAAGCCATTTTAGACCGCTCAAAAAGCAAAAAAGTGATGCCTTTAAAATTGAAACAGAGAGAAAGAATAATTTGCCATTATTGATGTACACAATTCTTTTTCTGGAATCAAAATTCATGAACACCCATCCACACAATTCACCAGAACATAAAAGAATTTCTTTTTCTGAGTTTGGTTGCTGCAAAGTTAAATTCACGATCACTGGGATTGGGGGAAAATTATAAAGTTCCATTATTGCCTAAATACATAAATGCAGTCCTATTGGGTAATGTTACAAATTACAGACAGAACAGACGGACTGCAGTGCCTTGATGGGCAGAATTCCAAAATTCTAGAACCTAGCTTTGTAAGATGGGTTTGCAACTCTCACCAAGCAAACGAACAATTTTCCCCGCCAATGGTTCCTCCTCAAAATCTGAGAACAGTTAAATACAATACCCCACCCAATTCCCTGATCTAAACAGTTTTTCAGCCCCTCATTATAAATTCTCGTTGACTATGGCCTATAGGAGCCTCCCACTTTTGCTTTGATAGTGAGGAAAGGGAGGGAATGTTATATGTCAGTGCTTCTGTGATGAAAGTCTCCTATGATAGTGGTATGTGCTCTAACTGGAAAAACTGATAAGGCAGAAAAATAACACTCTAATCTCTCCCTCACAGTAAATATCTCACTATAAGCAGAGAAAATAGCCCAAGAGAATCTCTGAAATATTGAACCCAAACTGTATTTCACTCATACCTCAGCTAACAGGGCGGCTAACATATTTATAGAACTACATGACACTTGCAACAATCATGAAACAACTAAATATCGCTACATTCTCGGGATTACAATGAAAATGGAAAATGTGCATTGTGCATAACAGAGTGGATCATGACTGACCTAATGATCCTGTTATTTAGCTAACTGGAATACCATTGTAACAGACAGTTCAGAATGCAAAATTCAAGCTGCTGGTTTCAGGACCAAAGAACAACAACGGACAAGTACATGTGGAGGTCTGAAAAAAGAAAATGGTGGCAAATGTTTGATAGGGTACTGCTATAAGCCAAAGAACCAACTACACACTATAACAGGATTAAAGGAATGCTTGGAGGTCTAGATATCTGCTGGCATAAAGGCTTGAACGAGATTGAAGTAGTTTTGAGCAAAGCACAAGTTTTGAGTCTCCTCACTAAGGAATCCATTGATGAGCACTGACTGTATCTAATCACAGTTCAACACAAATCAGTTCAACATTCAAAACCATAATCAAACTAAAAGAAAGAGCAGCCAATAGAACACTAATTGTAGTCTCCCCCTTCTTCGATTCCGTTTTTGCAGCTACCTACCCTTAGGTTCCAGACTTGTGTCCTCATTTCTTCCATTTGAGGATAGACCTTGATAATATGATAATTTTATAGTATACGGGCTCTAAAAAGCCAGCTCTTTCAAGGGCCAGCCCTTTAGAGCTGGACCAACCCTTAGTAACAGCTCTACCTGAGGCTGGGTGGGGCCCACCTAAAACCTGAATTCTGATCACAGCACATCAGCACCTACTGCTCCAACACACAACAGAGGGATCAGGTCAAGTTTTATCACAGATTGAGCTTGGCAATTCAAAATCATCAGCAACTACCATCCCTCTCTACATAAAATTTTTGGTTGAATGTGCCAAGATATGCTCAAAAATAGACCACATATATAACTTTTTTCATATAATTGGCTTAAACAATTATTAATAAACATAAAGTGACAATAGCCGAGATGAAAATATTGAGATGAATGTGTAGTCATACAAAAAAAGATAAGATTCGTAATAAACATATATGTGGAAAAGTTGAAGTGGCTAGTATTGATGAGAAAATGGCAGCAAAACCGTTTGAGATAATTTGGTTACTTGCAAAGAAGGCCTTTGGATATGCCGGTGAGAAGAGTTGATCAAACGGTATAGGGTCTTCTAAAAAAGAGTAAAGGAAGGTCAAAGACAACACTTAATGAAGTCACTGAGTAAGTGAGATCTTTTAATTAACAATATATCCAAAAATTTGGCTATGGATAGAGCTTAATAGCGTGATGCGATCCATGTAGCTGACTCTATTTAGTGGGATAAAACTTTATTGTTGTTGTATGTATGTATACAGCACATCTTATCTGTTTCTATAACATATATATGCTTACACAGCCTTCATCCTTCATGGCATTGTTGAGGGCTCCATCTAGTGATTGTGCGTTCTTCTACCGTATATTTTGCCAAGCATGAAGGTGGGTCATCATTAATACCATTTTTACAGATGTACAGAACCAACAAGATTTTGCAACACTGCCAAGCAGTCAGGTTGTGCAGTGAAAATCAGACCACTCTCTCAATCTTCCATTACAGTCATTATCATCCCCACCTGATAAAACAAGTTCCCCACACTCAAAATGGACCAGAGCTGGATGATGGCGATAGACAACAAAGTCCACACCATACTGAGCTCCAGGCCTCACTACCCAATTTTTCAATCGAAGGTGAGAATAACCTTTGTAGAAAAAAGAGAATGCTTTTTTCCTGGATTTCATGCAATGACATAGCTCTTCATCATCTTGGGAGCAGCTATCACTGCCGTTAATTTTAATGCATTTCAGTGAATAACAAAGGTAAAAGGCTTCTTCCAAACCTAACTGAAACCACTTTTTGTCCTTCTCAACTGTGCTCACTGGTTGACCAAAGCACGCTTTAACAAAGAGATCTGTTTGTTCTGCTTCAACTGCAACCCGGACAATGTTACCAGAGAGAAATACAGTAGCATCTGATTGAATTAGAGAAGACTGAAGCTGAGATATCATCTTTGACATGGGCTCTTTCTGTGCTTCAGCTTCTGAATCTTCTTTGGCTTTTGCATCTTTCCCTTTCCATCTCGGTCCCATTCGAATAAAAAATGTTGGTAACTATGCATAAAAAATTTGAATACAAGTGTCCCTCAATCGATTCAGAAACTGATATTACAATAAACAAATTATTACGGTTCTATATTAATTAACATCCACTAAGGAATCACCACCCAAAGAGTGGAACATACAATAAGGGGAGAATAATGTTATCAGCAAGAATTTCATCATATTTCAAACAATTCTAAGTGAGAGAGAAGAGAGACAAAAGACATATTTATCACCTTACCTGGTACCGTAGTGACGGAAGTGCCGAGCAGCGACGAGCAACAGTGGCAACAGGCCGAGAACTTGAAGATGAAGAAGGGGAAGCCGAGAACTTGAAGACGAAGGAAATGGAGAAGAAACGTCGAACGCTGGACGAAAAGCTCCTCGCTCGGCTTTACGCTGTCATGCAGTAGCAGATTCAAGTAGGAGAGGAAGAACCGGTTAAGCAGGCCTTACTCTGAACGGAGGGACTTTACCGCGAAGCGGAGAACCTGGCAGCGTCGCCGTCCTGAGGTAACCCGTGAAGGTGGGGTTGAAAAATGGCTTCTTTTTGGTGTTTTTTTGGTGAACCTGTTAAATGGCCTTTAAATGTAAATGGGTTGGGCTTTGTACGGCACTTGTATATCCGCAATGCTCAATTTCCTCTCCCAAAATAATAATCATAATAATAATTTACCAGTAAGGGTTAAATCTAGCCAGTTCCAGACGATGTGTTGAATTAAGTTTTGAATCCTTACCAACAAGAGTTGGGTTTAACATAAGGAACTAGTTCCTCACAATATGACGAACCAAGGTTTGAATACTCACTAGAAGAGGTGTCTATATTTAATACCCGACAGTATCTCAAATATAATTGCCTTCAATTAGATGATACTTATGCTTTAACCACAAAAAAAAAGTTTGAATCCTTACTAAGAGAAGTGTCCGTATTTAGTGTTCAATAGCATCTCGAATAGGTTAATTCCAATAAAAGGATACTTGGGCTTACTCAAAAAGGAAAAAAAAAATCTACGTAGTCGTTCATTTAGTCACACATTAATTTTTCCATTAATTCCTTCATTTTTTTGACAGGTAAACAGTCACCGTTATTAATTAAATAATATCTTATGCAATTAGATGAAGTATTTTAAGAATACTAAAATTATCATCAAAACATTATAATCATCATTACCAACAGAATCACGGGCCAACGAAACGGAATCTATTTTAGAAGGGAAAAAAATTTGAAAAGGTTAACCTCGTGAAAATCTCAGGTTTGTCACAGAAAATCTTTTTTAGAACAAAATGGAATCTATTTTTATCCTTTTGTTTTTTGCCAACGACTATTTTTATCGTTCTTTCCCCATTAACTTACGATTTCTTAATTAATCAGTTTCAATTCCATAATACTCATATCTCCTGGTTTTTCAGTTAACAAAAGTTAACTAAACGTGGAGAGTCATGAGTTACGTATGTCACCTTAATCTCTTGATGAGCTAATTAACTCTGAAAAATTTGGGGGATACCATCATCTCCAGAGTTCCTTGTCAGCGTGTGTGCGTGTGTGTGTGTGTGAGAGAGAGAGAGAGAGAGACATATTCTTAAATTCTGCCATGGAATCACATCCTGAGTTCACATATTAAAAACATTAAACACAAAATTAAAGAAAGCAACGAAGATTAAAGGGGACAAGTGATCAAGAGAGACTCCGAATAATTTCTTCAGCAGCTTGCTTGAATGTTTCCTCTGCTGATAATGCCCCAGGAAGCTTAACCGAATCTCTGTTCACCTGCAAGATTATTCATCCCAATAATCCTCATCAATTAGGAATCGTTTAAACATATATATATATATATATATATATATATAAATAAAGCTGTAAGTACAATCCATATAAATAAATATGTGTGTGTATTCACCTACCTGTGCTTGAAACATATAGAACCTGCGACCATCGTCACATGAAATATGGGCAGACACAACCTCAATCTTATACTTCTCGAGAACACAGCAGATGGTGCTGAAGAGGCAGTAATTCTTGGAAGAGCATACACTGAATTGAGCTTCTTGTCCACAAATGTTGACTACCACATTCGGAGAAGTCCAAGTTTGAAACCCTTTACGACGAGGACTTGAAGGAATTGAAGCTACTTGTTCAGCTACGACACTATTATTAGGGACGACAGACGAAGATTGAAGTCGTTCCAGCTTCTTCTTTTGCAGATCTTTCAATGTTTCCTCCAAAGTTCTTATGTAGTTCAATGTTTCATCCACTACTGTCACTTTGTCTGCCTGCAAAAAAGAGAAATATGATAGAAAGATCCCAAAACTAAATGGCTATGGGAATTAAAAGTTGAAGCATATATTGAATAACATATATATACCTGCTTGGGAACATGGGGGAGCATAGCTTGAAGGCTACCAAACAATTGTTTGATTTTCTTACGCCTCTCCCTCTCAGAAGCATCTATTTCATGATCACTACGAGTGACAAGCTTCTCCTTGCCTCTTGTCATTGAAGGGTCTTTATTAGACTTAGAGTGCTTCTCCATGTTCTTCTCTCCTGATCTCTATCTGCAGAAATGGCTTTAGAGAGAACTGTGAAGGGTTTGTGTTATGAAGAACTCTATTTATAAAGCATTAAGGAAGAAGCATGAAGTGTGATAGCCTCTGGAGCACAACGTTTTTCCTTCCAAGGGTCCTATTAAACAGTGGGCTAAAGTTGCAACGGTCATCGCAGATTATATTACAAGTAACCTCTCGCTTCACATGGTTTTGCATCTTCAAAAGTTTACAATGCCAATTTACTCGCCAGTAGTATGGGTGAAAGTAACAAGAGATCAGTTTTTAAACTTGGCTTAATAGGTTGCCACAAATTAAAGTTGAAATGAGACTTCACATGAGAAGCAAGGCATATATGTATGAATATGAGTAGTGTGAACTCCTTCTGGCTTCTGCAATATAACGTTCAGCTGGGACACACACAGCCTCACATGGAAAAGCAATATATGAATATCAGTTAAATCTCTTTGAATCAGAACAGTTATACAATTTTAAAAGGTATACATACATGTCCTAAGATGAGTGGGATAGTTAAGATCGCCCAAAACGAGGTTGGTGTGCGTGTCCTCATCACTTCTATGAGATCTATTTTCAGATTTAAAACCGCTCAAATTACTAAAAAAACAACAAATTAGCAATGAATTTTAATGATGGAATTTTCATCATTAATTAATTTAGCGACAGAATAACTATAGCTAATAAATTAGTAATTTTGTTTGTGAAGAAATAATTCTGTCATTATTATATTGTCTTTTAGTGAATTTAAAGATTTTAATATGTAATTTCCACATAATAAATTTATTTTTTTCACCAAATGAGTTTAAAGATTATTTTTATTTTAGATTATATATCTCTTAAAATGGAAAAAAAGTGTTAAAAATGTGGGAAAAAAAATCATATTGATTCTAGATTGTCCAATATAGTTTTAATACTTTAGTATTTAAGTGATGAGCACACAGCTCATTGCAGCTAATTTAGTGAAGAATATCACTATTTATGCTCTTGTAATATTTTTTTTTCAATTAGATTTTTCGATAGCCTTGAGGGTGCTGATCTTGAAAGTAATATTTCTTAGAAAGAATTATAATCAAGCCCTAAAAAAAAAAAATTATTAAAAAGTCTTAATAACAACATCAATAATTTATACTGATAAGTTTCATAATAGACAATGACAATTTTTAGGACTTATTTTATAATTTTTTTTTAGATTTGATTGTAATTCTCTCAATTTCTTATTACTCCCCTAAATAGTTTTCTTAGATTTACGATTATGATTATTAATTTCACATCTATTATGATGATTACAGTTTTAATTCATTTCGGATGTTCTATATAATTGTCCTCATCATATGAACCTTCTCTTTTCGGATGTGAATTAACATGAATGATCCGTAACATAAGAGATCTGATCATTAATATTACTCGGCAATTAAGTTTTTACTAGATTTTATCCATATCGGGACGACCATAAATGTAGAGGAGACAAATTTTTTATAGCAAAACATTTGCAATTCCATCATGGAACAACTACTGGAGTTTACATTAAAAAAGAAAAGCACAAAAGCAAACAGCAAAGATTAAAAACAAACTAAAAAAAAAAAAAGTTCTTTCGAACACTTTTTGAGCCATGAAAAACACTCCAAATGAAGCTTGATTTCTTGGAGAAACTTCACATAGGAGAGAGAAGATATACGTCTCTTGCCGCTCTCTTGAATGCTTCCTCCACTGAAAATGCCTCTGAAATTGGATCCGAATTCTGCTTATTTGCCTGCAAAATTCACCAATGTAATGATAGATGTTAAATCTTAAACACCCAATTAAAAAAAAAAAAAAGGCCGTTGTATGCTTGAAGATTGGGGGACACAAACCAAAAAAAAAAAAAAAGAACACTTACACGTGCTTGAATCTTGTACGAGGTTTTATAATCATCAGTTGAGATGGTGACACACAAAACCTGAATGTTATACTTGTGAAGAACACAAACGATGTCGCCGTAGAGGTCTGGCTTGTTGGGATAGCACATTCTGAACTGACCTTCTTCCCCACAAATGTTCACTACCACATTTGGAAAAACCCAAGTTTGAAACCCTTTGGGGTTTTGTGGAACTGATGTGAGTTGATGAGTAGTGGCCATGGAGGGAGGTCCTTGGCTGGCTGTGGGATAAGCAGAATTATTATTGGAGGCAGATTGGAGTCTCTCTCTCTTTATTTTCTCCAACTTCTCAACAACATCTTCTAGGGTTTTAATGTACTTAATAGTTTCTTCAACAATGGTTGCCTGGTCTGCCTGCAGCACAAAACAACAGGAAGAAAAAGATCTCGGAAACTTTTTTTAGAGAAAGCTAAAGGAAAAACGAAAAAGATGAAACTCTTGAACAATTTACCCTAATGTGATGAACAGAAGGGACCAAATCTTGAAGTTCTCTCAGATGCAACCTTATCTTCTTCCTTCTTTCTCTCTCTAATGAGGTATGATGATTTTCTCCATCAACCTTGCTGATATCTCTCTTCTGTCTCAAGGGTCTTTGCACACTACTGATTTCCCCAGTAGTGTTATCTGAGTTTGAGAGATTAGCAGACATGGTTGTTTATGTGTGGAGTAATGAGAATGAGGAAGTTTGTCTGTGGAGATGCTAAGATGGAGAATAGAGAGGGATACTTATAACATTGAGATGCCAGGATAGATAATGAAGGAACAGGTGACAAAAATGTCAGCTTGGCTAAGAATCCAAAGTTAAGAATAAAGAAGCTAAATAAATTGCTTAATCTTAATTATTAAAATTAACATTATCTTTTTAAAATATACTTAATATTATGTGTTATATATTAATTTATAAGTTAGATAAATTAATATGAGAAAATTTGATAATAATATGAGTGATAAAATAAATTAAGGTCCTACTTGTAGGATTAAAATTAACTACTACCTCTCATCCTTATTATAAAACCCAATTGACTAATTTGGAGACAATAAAAAAGTTACTGAATTACTTTAAAATATTTATATTTATTGTTTTTCTTCCAACTAATTGGCTTCACTTATAAATTGATATATTATCTAATAATACATACAAATATTTTAGAGAGATCATGTAACATATGTTATAATTAAATAATTTTTTTAATCTTCACAAATTAGTCAACTAAATTTTATATTAAGACTGAAAGTAGCATCTAACTAGCTTCTACGATCAGGATGGGAGGGATATCAGGGCAAATGCAATCACAAATAGGCGAGGATGCATGCATATGAAATGAGATGGATATGATTCCTTCTGCTAGAATATCCATCATTTTATTTACCGTTACAAAAATATCACACGTGAATGTTATAGTAGTCTGATTATGTATGAGCTGGATGCTCATAACGTTGAGACGCCAGCCTAGATAATGAAAGAACAGGTGACAAAAATGTGACCTTAGCTTGGCTAATAATCCAGAATTAAAGCAGTAATATCAATGGTAAATGCAATCACATATATACTAGCTAGGCAAGCACACGTGTGTGTGTGTGTGTGTGTGTGTGAAATGAGCTGGATACGATTTCTTCTAGAATATATATATATATATATATATATATCATTTAAAGTTATAAGAATATTACATATGTCAAAGTGAAAGAATTAGTTACTCAATAATTAATTGGATGGATTCATTATTATTAAGTAGCTGAAATTATCAGACATCAGCAAAATTAAGAGAGTAAAAAAACCGAGAAATATAAGAAATTCATCATAGTTTAATTTGATACCTTATAAAAGAAACATTGGAGAGATTTTTCCTATGCTATAAGAATCGCAATTATGACATAATTTTTCTTCTGCTTAAAAAACCCATTGTTCTAAAATAACCTCAAACTATAAGATTCTTTTAATTATCTCACCAAATATACTTGCTAGGTTTGTGTTAATCTACAACTCTTAGCGGGGAAGACCACATTAAGGGTTTTACAAACCCACCCACAACTTTCACTTAGAACCAATGTAAATTTTTAACGCATAATGTATAATAGCTCTTTTAGATAGGTGGCATTGCAATAAAAACTCAGAATATATGTCTTGTGGTGAGCACTAAAATTCTTTTAAGAAGTCTATCATTGAGAAAATTAGTTATTGCTACCAACAATGGATGCCCTGAGTTTATCACACACACAAAAAAAAGAGCTCAAAATATATAATAACACCTAGAAAATACATAATAATATCTCCGATCTTAATTATAAGATCTTGTTTGTAATTTATAAATAAATGAAGTCTTATAATTAGGACGGAAAATAGTATCATCTGTATAAAAAACAAGAATGCATAATATTATCGCTTGTGCTTTCTTTCTTGGTCTATAAATATATATATGTGTATATATATTTGAATGTCTTCATCTTCCATTATATGCTTCTTCTTTCTCCAAAATCAATTATGTAGTTGTTGCTTTAAACACGCATATTCCCAGTATAGTCCTTCATTTTCTACGTGATCACTCACCATTAATTAAATAATATCTTATGCAATAGTTAGATGGATGAAGCATTTTAGGAAATAGCATGATTTAGGAAACAAATCAATAGAAATTCTATAATTTTGTTTATTATCATCAAATAAATCTCTTATCCATACACTCTGTTTTTTTTTTAATCGTCCTTTCTCCATTGTTTCAATTTGATAATACTGATATCTCCTGATTTTTTTTTTCCGTTGGAAAAAGAGTCTACTGATTTTTCGGTTTAACAGAAGTTATAAGTATAGAGTCAGTTGCTGCCACGTGATCTCCTGATGAACAACTAGGAGAGAAGAGGGATATCATCGTAACCTTTTTTGAGCAAATTCCTTTAAAGGATTGAAAAATTGTGAATGTTGAGTAGGAACTTTCTTTTTTAAATTCATTTAGCATGGTACGTAGAACATATTTGTATATGTTTACTACCTCCGCTTCTTAATACTACTTCCAGTCTTAATTATAAGATCTCATTTATAGTTCTAATTATAAAACATCATTTATACTCTATAAATGAGGTCTTATAATTAGATCAGAGGTGGTATAAGAATTAGTTAGAGAAAAATTTGATTTTAAATATAATATTACAATCCACTTTGTTTTTTCTAAAATATCTCTATTGATTATAAGGGCTTCCACTAATGAATAGTTTTAATGCATATGATTAAAGATAATAGTTAAGAAAAGTCAACACATATTTGTTATAAATAACTATTTAACTAATTTTTTAAATTTTCTCAAATTAATTATTTAACTCTTACATTAAAAAAAGATAAATATAAATAATCTATTTAACTAATTTTTTTAATCTTCTCAAGTTACTTATTTAACTCTTATATTAAAAACAATAAATATTAGACTACATGAGACAAGCCTCATCCAATACACATATAAAAGGTCGGATTACAATTGAACGAAAAACAAAGACGACATTACCCAATATGAGAAGCGAATAGGAAACCATTTTCTTTATTCTGCCACGGAACCACATCTAAAGTTTACACATTAAATGATCAAACACAAAAGAAATCAACGAAGATTATTAAAGACATCGAATTAACAAGGCAGGAGTTTTCTGGGTAGATTTCAGGAGAGACACCGAATAATTTCTTCAGCAACTTGCTTGAATGTTTCTTCTGCTGAGAATGCCCCTGGAAGCTGAACCGAATCTCTGTTCACCTGCAAGATTCATTCCAAATAATCCTAAATTAGAAATCGTTTAAGTACCATGATTAAATGAAAATGTAGATTTTTTTTCGTGAAAAAAATCCAGCGCAGACATTGCTAAATTCCATTTCACAATTAAAAGCAAAGATATCTAAACTACTTTTACTTGAAGGCTTCATGAATAGACTCACCTGAATTTCATTGGTTTAATTTCTTCCACCATAAATATATAAAGCGACGTAACACATATAAAATTATAATGCATACTTACCTGTGCTTGAAACATATAGAACCTGCGACTATTGTCACATGAAATGTGAGAAGACAAAACCTCAATCTTATACTTCTCGAGAACACAGCAGATGCTGCTGAAGAGGCAGCGGTTCTTGTAAGAGCAAACACTGAATTGTGCGTCTTGGCCACAAATGTTGACAACCACATTCGGAGAAGTCCAAGTTTGGAACCCTACTGAGTTATTATTATGAGGACTTGGAGGACTTGGGGTGGGTGAGGAGGAAGCTACTTGTTCAGCTATGAAAGCCTCTCTTGAAGTTCCACTGGGATTACCCACATTAGAGCCCACAGAAGATTGAAGTCGTTCCTTTTTCTTCGTTTCCAGATCTTTCAAAGTTTCCTCCAAATTTCTTATGTAGTTCAATGTTTCATCAACTACTGTCACTTTGTCAGCCTGCAAAAGAGATGAGAGAAAGATCATAGCTTTGTTTTTCCTTTGGAATTACAAGTGATATATGTGAGACTGAACCTGTGATTTTTAGCAAGGGAGAGCAAAGTGCCCCTAGGCTACAAGGTCATGACTACGTAAAAGATCATAGTATTCGAGTATATCATCTAAATGACAAAGAGATTCCCAAACTTAGAATAGCGAGGAATTAAAGTTGAAGCAGTTAATTAATTTACCTTCTTGGGCACATGAGGGAGCATAGCTTGAAGGCTATCAAACAAGGTTTTGATTTTCTTACGCCTGTCCCTGTGAATAGTATCCATCTCATGACCAGTAGCAGTAACACGCTTCTCCTTGCCTCTTGTCATTGAAGGACGATTTGAATTAGAATGCTTGTCCATGAGTTTATCAGAATTATCTGAACAACTGGACCGGATTTCCCTCTCTTGTTCCCTATTATCTGCAAAAGACATGGCTTTAGAGAGAGAGAGATGTGAAAGGTTGGCGTTGAAGAACTCTATTTATAAAGCAATGAAGCAGCCTGAAGAGACCAAGGGTTTGTTCTCTCATACAGTCGGCTATAGTAGTTCTAATAACAGTCCTCTTGGTTGTTTCTTCCTTCACATGGTTTTTCATCTTCTGGCTATCTCAGAGTGAAACAGAAGATATTTGTTAAACCTCTGGCGTTAGAGTTTCAACTTTGTTTAGGTTTGTAACAAAGTTGAATGAGACTTCACATGAGAAGGAAGGAATATGTTGTGTGAATATGAATTGTGTGACCTCCTTCTGCAATATAACTGTGAGCTGTCTGGCCTGGGAAACAGAACCTCTCGCATGGAGAGCAATATGTGAATATCAGTTAAAATCTCTTTAAATCACAGTTTCAGAATAAATTTTTGAAAACATAACTGATGCTAGGTGAAGCTTTAGATGGAGAAGATGCTCAGCAACGCGTGTTATCCCCACTGTAAAAACGTTATTTGCTATTGGGTTGCATGAGATGAACCTGCACCCCTTGGAGTTATCCCAAGCACTTCAAAGTCGTCCACCCAGCAACTTCTGGAGCCTCACCAACAGAAGCAGTAGGATAATCACAGGGTTTTTGAAGAAAGAGAAAATTATTCCCCATATGCATCAAGAGTTAAGTAAGATATATATACCATGTTTTTATGGAATTTAGTTTCATTACAAAGTGCAAACAATCATTTTAATTTGTGTTTTATGAGACAATTTCTCTGACATAACATCACAAAATTACTTAAAATAAGTCGATTGAAACCGGCATTTTATATATGTATATATGAGATTGCTTAGAATACCGGTGCTTAACACTTCAATAATGAGATTTATGTGTTGAATCTGATTTGAACAACCTAGATTTAAAAATTTTAATACAATTTTTTTATACAATGAAAAGTAAAAGGTTAATATTCTTTATTTTAGATTATACATCTATTACAACAAAAATCATTGGAAATTTAAAAATAAAATAATATTAATTATTTTTGGTAAAAAAATAATAATACTAATTCTAAATCGTCTAGTTTTTTATTTTGACAGTCCATATTCAGTGCTTAAGTTACGAGCACCCCAACTCATGTTAACTAATCAAAGGATATTGTCGATACCTACTTGTTCTCGCGTTAAGTCTACCTAACATGTTTAGATGGAGCCCTGATTTTGAATCATTGGCGTCTTTTGTGCTTGTCACATATTTAGTTGGATTTTTGGATCGCTTGAGGCTCGCCATGCAAGTAAAATTTATCATTGCATTTCTATTATAATTGCATTCTAAATTGTTTTCCTAGATTACCAATGTGATATTTTTATTTCATGTCTATTACTACATTCCCTTCTTAATATAAGACCTCGTTTGACTTTTATTTTGATCCTCAATATAAAATCCCAATACACTTTGTCTCTCATATTTATTCATTTTTTCTTAAGATAGTCTTCTAATAATAGTAGTTCTAGTCAATAAATTTGATTAGCAAGGATATTTTAGAAAAGACAATACATATTTATTACAGATAACTAACTTAACTTATTTTCACATTTTGGATGTTCTAATTGTCCTCGTTAAATGAACCTACTTTTCTCGCGTGTGGATTAACATGAATGCTACTAGCAATATCCAATATGAACCTGATCAATGCTAGGCAACAATAGATGGTAGCAATGTTTTTAAGTTTTTACTAGATTTTGTTTGCCCAAGGAATAAATGCCGTAGAAGATTCCGTCAAAAAATGGCGCAGAAGGCAAATTTTCATGATAAAATAGTGTCAAAACATAATTAATTTAATTGGAAAAAATTTGGATAAACCTTTTTTATATGTTTATTTTGAGACGCTATGTGTGGGGATAGAAGTAGAACCCTCCCCACCCCTAGCATGCAAAGGGACCACTTTGCCATTAAGGTAATGCATCTGGTGGTAGTGTACCTATTCTAAATGATTTTGAATCATTTAAAAGTAGTTATTATCATATTTATACATTACACATATCCCTAGTGAAAATGTATATTATGAACGTTCGTTATATACAACAACAACAAAATTCCAGCAGTTTTTTTTTTTTTTTGTTAAGTTCAGAATATCTACTACGTCAGCAGTAGTGATGACTAATTCTCTTCTTGAGAAAATTTTAGTGTTAACCACGCGATCCTCTCCCTACACACCATGAGGGTAGTTCTTGCGATATTTTTAAGTAAGATACGCCGCTTCTTAGGCGGCATGGAATAATACATTCAGAAAAATTAGTAAATCTAGGAATTCAGGCCACTCATCATTACCAACAGCAACGGATCGGAAAGGATTCTTAAATAGTTCTTACTAAATAAAGATGTTTACGTTAAATAAATCAAAGAACATATTTATACATATCAATGGGAATCCCTCTCGCTCAAATATATATATGTTCATTATTTTCATTAACTTAACTATAGTCTAGTCAGGTTTTAGCCCACAACTCAACCAGTCTATGCTCTGACGCAAATTATCTTAATCATCGGATTCTCGATCTACTAAGAAAATTCCTGCAGTTACTTAGTTTTTTAGGGAATCTACATACGGTCGTGTTGTTGGGTATCTACTATTATCCTACCTAATGTGAAGTTAAAAACTTTGGCCAAAAAAAAAATGTGAAAGTTAAAAAGAAGAAAGATTAAACAATGCAAGCACTACTCAAGACAGGCATTGCTTGGGTTAAAGCAGGCCAGTGCATATCACGTACGTGTCCAGTAGAGGCAGACAAGGTATTCTACATCAACAGACATCAACAATAAACCTACAATTGAGATAAAGTTCAAGGGTTTTTACATCATAAATGAACTGTAATTATCCATATTTTTTTTAGAAAAGAAAATGTATATGCAGAATTCTATTACTCAAGCACCAATTTCTTTACTCTGTCTTTTTTAACCGTTTTTTTAATTGAGTTTCCTTTCCTATCCATCAGATGGCAAAGTCCTGTCACTCATAAGGAGCAGCAAGTTCATCAAATGAAATAAAGCTAAGGTCTAAAGTCTTAAAAGACAGTTCTTTCAGGTTCAACTTGATAGAGATTCTCCATCATCTTGCTAAGGCTGTTGTTTTGCAAATAGGGCACAGGTTCTTCTGCATTAGCCACTGCTTGATACAGTCGGTGTGGAATTCGTGTCCACAATCTAGTGAGGCTACATCCTCCCCATCAGCGTATTGCTCCTGCCATTGATGGACAATTAAATGCAGTCATTGACAGGTATATAACAGTTATGAGCTATAACGTACGAGCATTATTCCGCACCGCTTTTCTTAGAGTGGGTTTAGATTTGCTTTTTAAAAATGATTTTACAGTATACAAGATAAGTATGCGAGAGGAGTTTTGTCTTAGTTTGCATGAAAATACTTATGAGAAGCTAATCCAAACACCACCTCAAACTATCTGAGACAACCACTGTAAATACCTGACAGATACAACAAGGTTCCATATCTGTAGAAGACTCAGTCATGACAGACGTGTAGATCCGATGTTTCATCAACGTCATAATGGTATCCTCGCTCAATCCAGTGCTCACATCTCCGATGCGCTCCTCCAATGCCAGCAATTCCTGAAATCCCAGTGACACTTGAGAGAAGCAACATGAGGGAAACACATATTCCCCTCTCCCATGAGGGAGAGCTTAAGCACACAGCCTCTCCTCTATTATTAAAATGTGCACGGGCCTCTCTCTACTTCAAAACTATACTACAACTACCTCCAATTAGAGCAGGGGATCTGTCTGGCTCCAAATTCTAGCCGTCAGAGACCCAACGACACAAGTTTTCACTAAAATACCTTCCATTAACACCTTCATATGATGAATATCTTTACTTGCAGGGGCATATGGAAGGTTCGTCACAATAAGAGGACTTTTTCATCGGACTTACTTGAAGCATCTTTTGTTTTAAGAGAAATTCGTGCCTATAATTAGACGCTGTCATAAATTCTCTCAAGGAAGAGAATTGTATTTTGTCCGGTTCAGAAAGCCAACTTTTATGGAACATAAATTAGGAACAATTTCTTTTCAATGGAACATGTAAGGGAATTCAATCTTTCTTTCTTTTACCTCATAAGACATGTTATCAACATCAAGGCGCAGGTCCCTGTGCCTATCATGTAGTTCAGCCATACCATGATATATGAACGGGTCAAAGAGCATATAATCCTGAATCACGAGTAACACAGGAAACATCTTCAAGTTAGTATTCTCGATTATCAGCATAGCGTATTACTAAGTCCAACTTAAATATTGCCCTCACAAGCTACCAGCACAGAGTTTAATTCAAAAACAACATACACATCATAAAGATCACGACTGTTTTTCCTATATGTTCGCTTCCAATGAAGTTCAGATAGTGGGGCCAGGTTGTGAGAATTGCACACCCATTATTTGGTCCAAACCTAAATTATTATCGTTCAGAAATAAGATATATTAAAGTTGCTAAGCTCAACATATGAACTTAACTAAGAATCTAATTGAATTTGCAAAATTTAAAACCTTTACTTTCACATACATTCAAGCTTTACTAGCCAGGCACAAAATCTGGCCAAATTTACCCTTGGTAGCAGTCAAAATCAAGCATCCCGTGATAAAAAAGGCACGAACTTGATATTCAGCATAAGACAGTTTCCATTGCAATGCTCAACATAAGGAAAAGCACAACTACCTCAAAAACTGTGACCACACACAAACTTATCTCCTCTGAAAGAAGGTGAAACATGGGAAGCTGCAAATTGTCAACTAGATATTCCCATTCTTATTTACTGAGATAAAATAAAAGGAAAATGAGTAGCAAGCAAATTAATACACCATCAACATCAATGAACCGATGACAATAACTCATCTACCACTAATTTCACCACACAATAGGAAGTCACCAACTATACATATATAAGATTGTGAGTGAAAACACAAACCTCAGCTCGTAAGTTCTCACCCCTGCGCATTGCACTTAAGACTTGACGAATCTGGCACACAAAGCAACATATGCAGTTAATTCAGACAAGACCAGCATGGCACCAAATTCAAACTAGCTCAAAATGATTTATCAGATTTCAAATTATCAAAATGTCTGTTTACTGGTAGCAAATTATAAGAAACTAATTCACAATTCCTGCTCCATCTGTCTTGTACATTACAAAATACATCAGATAGGGAGATGGATTAGTTCTAAATGACCGCTAAATTGCATAGCTGTTAAGTAATAATGCAAACTATTATGTCAAAAGGAAAATATAACATAACAAGTATAGTACCTCAGATATCAATCGGCGTCTCCCCTCAATGTCAACAGCTAAAGCACGCAATGAGTGAGGTGCACTAAGAACTTCATCACCTCTTCTCTCCATCAATGATGCCAATCTTGCATATGAGTGGTGGCTGCTCATGTCTGGAGTAAAGGAAGGAGGACCAGAAGAAGTAGAAGATGAGGCAGAATGAACATTATGACTACCAGATACTGAGTTCATCGATGGAAAAAAGGACCAGGGACTGAAATCTGATAATGTTAGCTGCCTCCGTGTTGGAACTTCATGGGGAACAATCCAGCTTGGATTAGGTAATGAATTGACACTTGAACTGGATCCAATCCAGGAAGTAGGAGGTGCACTACCAGAATTATTCACATTGCCGGATGAAATATGCCAGCTGGTAGGGTCAAGTCCAGAAGATGAAGGTGCAAGGATGGGGTGCTCTGGATTGTCTCTTGGAAAAATTCTTAAGTTCAATTCTTCCCGAAGCTCTCTTTCCGCAGAGTTATAAGAAGTAGATGAACTTGCACCTCTTGAACTAGAAGCTCCACTCCAAGGAAGAGAATGTGTGCTCCCTGGCAAACCAGGAACATGCGTAACATGTGACTGACACTGAAAAGAACTAGAATTGCTTGCTGTAACTCCAGCTGTTAACCTTAATTCTAGAGAATCATTAAATGGATGAGAGGTAGGTGTTTGGTGGGAAGAAGAATGATTAGGATGCCTAGATTCCTGTCGCTGTGGATAATTCATCCTCCTATCAAAGCTTCTCAGAGGCCTGTTCACATTTCCCGTAACTCCTATCAAAGGGAATGCATCAGAAGCTATGTGCCTCATCTCATTTCTTGGGTTCTGCTCTACTGGAGGATTATTAATAGGAACATCCTCAGAAGGTCTAGACAAATTTAAACTGCTGGAAGCAATATTAGAACTGAGAGTCCCAGTACGCCAGCAACTGCTTTCAGCTTCTAGAAAAGAGCTTGAACTTCCTCCATTACACATCTGCCCAGAAGTACTTTCAAGAGCCTTTCTCTTGCAGGAAGAACCCCAATTAACCAAAGAAGAGCTTGAATTATCATTATCTTCCCCAACAATGTAACCAGAGCTTCCAGATGAAGTTCCTACATGATCATATGAAGCACTGACAAATGATGTATGCTTACTATTGAATCCATATGTATTGTGAATACTATCACTGGTACAAGGTTCTGTTCCTTTCCCATGATTAAGAGGGCTGGCAATGGAACCCATATTTAAAGCAGCATCCTGGGTTCCATGGTTGGAGCTGGAACCTTGCAAGAAGAAAGGCTGAACTCTGGGTTGATTTCCACATAGGTTGGCATTCGAGTTACCAGGGAAAGTTACATTATTTGGATCAAATTGCCGTTCTTCTGGTCTGAGAACATCCTCAGCAGAAGCACCACATGAAGAAGACCAACCATGTTCTGCTTTTAGCCCATCATTATTGACGTGACTGTGAAGATTCATACTAGAACTAGGTTCACCAGCATTCCATCCATCAAAGTTCTGAACATCAGGAGCACTGTTGCGTAAACATGCAGTCTCACTAGAGGATCCCAGAAAATCTGACAACCGAGCATCAACTGGATTTTGCATGTGATTCAAGGAAGTCTGCTGATTTATATCAGTGCCACTAGAACTAGGTTCCTGCATCATACTTACAATTGCTGGAAAGGAACCAAGAGTCCTTCTGTTACCTTGCATCGGAATTCAATCTATCCAACCTGATTTACCAGATAATCAGCTTCTCAACTTTCAAATTAATCAATGGTGCGCCCAAGATCACAGAAATAACCTGCACAGAACACCTTTGGCATTGAAGCAAACTTGTACAAGTTTTACCAGGCACAAAAATATGTAGATTTCTTTTCCAGTGAAAGTAAAGCACAGACAAATCTTAAAACAAGAGAATGAAAAACAATATTGTCATAAAATTGCTTCAGCAACATCATTTATGAGATAAAAAATTTCACAAAGCCATGGTATATTCTTTCGACAAATAATATCTATTTGAGATCCCAGTACATGCAACAGGAAAAATAAACTCAAATAAAAAGATAAGAGTGAAAACAAATTTGTCACAAGCAGGTTGTCACCGATGAACAATAACAAGCCTTATCACCTACATGACTTATCACTAATAAAGTCTATAGGAAATTGGCAAGTCAATTGCTGGGGCGCTCCTGATTTTCCATAAAGATATCTAGGAGGGAAAAACGGAAACCATAAAACAAAGTCTGGCCTTATATGAAACGACAATGAATAAACTATTGAGGATGCTTAAGATAGGAAAATGATATGGATAGAGATACTAGATCTCTCATTGTGCTATTCACAAGCTCAGAAACCTGTAAAAACAACTTGGCTTCCTATTTTCTGGGTGTAAATTTTATACTCAATGAAGTTAACAATAAGAGCCTTGGAATGAACGAGAAAAATAAAAAAGCGTCTCGATGCATATCTTTTGCTCACCACATTCCCACCTACACCATCGATGCAACAGTAAATGTCAGCAACTTTAGGCAAGACATACTAAGATAATATATAAGGTTGCCAATAATCACAAGGGAACAACAACCACGCCGAGATCGCCCAGAAAATTAAGAAGTGAAGCTTCGCAATGGTCAATTCTAGGTTTTCGGAAATCCAATGTAACCAGCAGACACGTCAAATCCAGCAGCGAAATAAAACTTTCCAGATTCAAACCGCAAGCAGCAGAAATGAATCGAACTTCGAAGATTTCCCAGAAAATACAGTATGGCTTCGGATCAATTGTATATCCCAGAAAAAGGGGAAAAATAAAAGGGGGGCAAACTTAAGGGCTAAAACCTAGCGGCTCGATGCGATCCCTCCACGCCAAAACAAGGAAAGGGATAAACCTCCTAATAGAGAACGCAATCCACACCTCTTTCTCGGGGAAAAAGCAGCATTATCAGAGAATCATCGTGATGAGAACAAGCATTCGCGAAGAAAAATTGAGTCAGATGGAAGCAAATGCAATAGAGAGAGTCTGAAAAGGGCGGATTACCTGAAGAGGATAACGAGAATCCAAATGGGTCAAGCAGAAACGCCTCCGCTTCTGCTTTTTCTCTCCGATTCTTCCCCCACTCAAATTTTGGTATTTTTATCATCACAGAAGAAGCTGATCAGAAGGCGACAAATGAGAAAGCCATGAACGAGAAAATAAGGGTGGAAGCGAGGAAGTGAGAGATTAAAGGGGAGAGAGAGAGAGTACAAGCACAGTAATCCTAATATCTAATTTAAGATTTCATTCATTTCACATAGAGAGAGAAGGCCATTGCCCATTGGGTTCGGTCCTGAGGGGTGGCCTCACAGGCGCCATTGATCGTACACGTAGCTCGCATGAGCCCATGTGGGCCCCACGTGAGGTGAAATTTCATAGCGCTGATTGTGAAGCTGGCGTTTCTTTAGATTCAGAATATTCGCCCCAACCTCCCATGCCATGCCCGTCCCTTCCGCAGAGTGAGGAAAATAAGGATTAAACGTTTCACAAAAAAAAAAAAAAAAACACACACACACACATATCTGTGTGTGTGTTTTAGATGGATAAGTAAATACTATTAGATACGTCTGAACTACCAGAGAACGACACCAAATGACCCCGGCTGACAAGGCAAATGGACAAAAATATATTGATATATATATTATTTGATTGATAAGGTTGTAAATCCGGAAAATTGAATTACAAAATGTGGAAGATTCGTTCGCAGAAATTAAGAGATTGGTTGCAAATTAATTGTGTAAGTTATAAAAGGGTTATAAATATCAGAAAACTCAAGTGTAAAAATTATAAAAAATGAAAATTCAATGGTAGAAACTGAAAGATCAAGTAAATAAATTTTTTTAAGTGTTTGAACAATCATTTTCAATAAAAAAAATTTCTTACTATTTACAATTGTAATTTCCATTTTTTTCAAGAAAGCATTCAAACTCAACAAATATTATACAAATTGCAATTGATTTATAATTATTCTTTCAATATTCACACCCGAATCTTCCAGTTTTTACAATTGAATTTCTTTTTATTTACAAAGTTTTACAATTTACAGTGATGTACAGCTAATCTTTTGACTTGAACGACTAAAATTTTCAATTTTATGATTAAGATTATGAGAATGGCATTTTTGTTTATTTATTGGCCTGACCTTAATCTTTCGTGAATTTCAAAAAAAGTCTATCCACAAGGCCCAAGGGGATGCAGGCCCAAATATAAAGTTCTATTTAACTTTTGTCTTTTGGGCCTCCCCCTAACAAATAAATAAGTTCGTGTCGAGTCCAACTCAACCCCCTGGGTTTGATGCCCAGCCCATATTGATCTCCAGAGTATTTATCAACTTGAGGTCCCTGAGTGGGCTTATTGGGCCAATGAACACTTCTAACCTGATATAGCATGTGTGTTGCAAGGATACTTAACCTCTTTTTTTTTTATCAATAACAAAATATCCATCTTATTTTAAAACAATTTTTCAAAATACAAGTATTAAAATGGAACAAATATTTGAAAAAAGTTGGTGAAGCAAAGTAAGTGAGTTACAAGCAATTGTAAATAGGCATTTAAATTATATTGTTTAGGATTGTAGATTTGGGGGCATTTTATATATACTTAATCAATTTTAGTACTCTCCTGGTATTTAATATAGGACCTAATTGTAGAGTTAATTTTGGTCCTAAATATAAGAACTATTTCTTATATCTATCAACTTTTTTCCAAATTACCTCTAATGATACTCCCTCAACCATAATCAAATATGAGAGGGAGGGATGATATAGTGAAGATGATTAAGGTATTTTAAGAAAAATATATCATATTAATTATAGTTAACTAATTTATCAAATTTTTTTAATCTAAACAAATTAGTTAAATAGATCTTATATTAAGGACCGAGAGAATATTTAGTTAACTTTGGCCACATGGTTTAGGTACTTGGAAGCTGGATACTTATAACATGTGATTATGTTTTGGGTTGGAGATCTAATTTGGAAATACTGTTGTGCATTGTTGGATTTTAGATTTGTTTCGATTTATATGAATTTTGGATGTATTATAATTTTGTTGTGAATATGATGCAAGATAATGCTTGATGAAAAGCAGCCTTTATGTATTTTTGAAAAATAGCACAAATATTTAATGATTATGTGGTATAATTGTCAAGTATTTAGGCAAACCAGCAAAATGGCCAAAACTAAGCATTAATATTTAACGATTATTTGAGGCTTTTTATTTTCATAAAAAAAATAGAAAGTAAAAGAAACAAAGCTGAGTTTAAAAAAGGCATGATAGTCAAATTATTACTATTAGTTTTCTTTTCCTTTTCTTTTCATACAAAACAAGCTGGTAACCAATTTCCTCCCTTCATTGAAATCAAATAGACCTTTATAGATGGATGAATTTTCCTAATAATCATGTAATAAAAATATTAAACATGAATAATTATATTAAATTTTACGGTAAGTTACTGAAGTCATAAATTTGACTAAACATAACAGGAAAACATAAAAATATCTGGGTAAGTTTTGTTGGGGTTGTAAAGGGGGGAATGCAAATGGTAACGAGGGTTACGTCTCATTAAGAAAGAAATCACACGTGCGAATAGAATCTTCCAAAGCCTGCAACTCACTGACTTCCATCCAAAAATGGAAGTTTCATCAAAACGAATGAATACATAGGACTAATCAAAACGCCAGATGTGTCCCTGTATTTCGCTCTTTACTGATTCACCATTATCCCCATTCCTCGATTTCCGAAAATCCTAAACCAAAGAAAATCCCACACTCCCCGACAAAAAGCCGCCATGGAATCCCGCAAATTGGCAGCTTTACTTTCTTCTCTCATCTCTCAGCTTCTCCTTCTCATCCTCCTCCTTTTTCCTTCCTTTTCTTCTGCTCCTTCTTCTTCCTCCGATTCCAATCCCCCCTTCAATGCCTTCCCTCTCGTCCAATACTTTATTTTGTCCCAAGAGATCGCCGCTTCTCTCTCCTTCTCCAAGAACAGGAAACGCAAGCGGGTCGACCCAGAATCTGACCCGATTGATGAGCACCCGCCGGGTGGGATTGGAATTGGGGACGTGGTTCGGAGCCCTGACTCGTTCAGGAGCTGTTTCAGAATGACGGCGTCTACCTTTGAATGGCTCTCTGGTTTGCTGGACCCATTGCTGGAGTGTCGCGACCCCGTAGAGTTGTTCCCTCTGAATCTCTCATCCGGTGTTCGGCTTGGAATCGGCTTGTTTCGGCTCGCAAACGGTTCCGATTACGCTGAAATTTCGAGCCGATTCGGGGTTTCCGTGTCGGTAGCGAGGTTTTGCGTGAAGCAGTTGTGCAGGGTTTTGTGTACCAATTTCCGATTCTGGATTGCGTTTCCGAACTCGCACGAGATTGAAACTGTATCTCGAGGTTTTGAAGACATCTCTGGGTTGCCCAATTGCTGTGGCGTGATCGACTGTGCAAGGTTTAACGTAGTCAGTTCTGAAACATCGTGTGAAGATAAAATAGCGGCACAGATAGTGGTCGATTCCTCGAGTCGGATTCTGAGCATTATCGCTGGGTTTCGTGGCCATAAGAGCAATTCAAGAATCATCAGGTCGTCCACTTTTTACAGAGATATTGAAGAAGGGAAGCTTTTGAACTCGCCAGCCATTGACATAGACGGAGTGGCTATAAATCAGTATTTGATAGGAGATTCCAGTTTTCCTTTTCTCCCATGGTTGATGATTCCTTTTGCTGAATCTCTACCTGGTTCATATGAAGAGAATTTCAATTCTGCTCATAAGCTTATGCGCATTTCGGCTCTTAGAACTATTGATAGTTTGAAGAACTGGGGCATTCTGAGCCGACCTATAAAAGAAGAACTGAAGATGGCAGTGGCTTATATTGGTGCTTGTTCTATACTGCATAATAGCTTGTTAATGAGGGAGGATTTTTCTGCACTTTCCGGTGGGCAAGACTACCAATTTCAGAATCTGAGTATTAAAGATTCTAGATCGGAGGAAAATTCAAATACTATGAATGCTTGGATTGTAAGAAGTGCATTGGCTACAAGAGCCAAGAAAAGCAATGGTTCAAGTACATAATGGACCTTTGATGATTTCATCAGGAGACAACAAAAAAAGGATTGGTAAATGGGGACATGTGATTGAATTCATTTCTTCATTTTACGTTCTTTTTTAAAATAAATTTTCAAAATTATCACAGAAAGTAGAATCAAGAGATTCTTTCTACTATTTTTCTCCCAGTTTTCATGTACTTTTGGTTGGAATTAATGACGGGTAGAAGGTTGTCATTCATGAGTTGATTTCAGTTTTGCAGATTACATTGTTGTTAGAGTGCACTCGCAAATGTAAATACTATCTTCTGAGCATGAATAAGGTTGACTTTTCCTGTTAATCACAAATCGTTCTCCTTTTTAGCTTCTCATCTACATAATCTCTGCGTCTGGGTGATAAGTAGACATTGATACTTTGATGAACCTCTATTTTCCTTTTTTCTTTTTTCTTTTTTTTGGCTTTAGCATCAACGCTGATGAAACTATTTAGTTTTATTATGGCTCCCGGAAAGCAACATTAAAAAATCATTGAGCTAGCTGTGAACCCATGGATTGTTTTATGATGGCATTCTTTTGATGAACCCCACCTACCCCTATTTTTGTTTTTAGTACATGGGGAATGTAACAGGACAAATGCTGTTCTTCAATGCTTCTATTCAGTATATGATACTATAACTACAATTTTTGGAGCTATAGTTTTCTTTAGAAACGTTACCTTCATAGGATACCTTAATGAAACAATGTGTATATCTGGGAACAAGACCATGGACAGAGCAAAATGATTCAGACAAGATATTTGAAGGTTTCATTAGTTTAATTTTCGTTTCATGTTGGTCTTATCATCTGCATTTCTAAACAACAGTAAAACAGTGCAGTGCCTCTGAACAAAGGATGCTTCTTGTCTATGGCTCTAGGTTCTTGTAACTCACCGAAGACTGGGGCTTTAGTTTCTTTTTACATTCAAGCTCAAAAACTTGTGCGCAAGTTAATTGGACTGTGTGGCATTAAATGACGATGCTCATTTTCACTTGAAAGACTGATTAGAATTGCCATTTTGCCACAGCTTCTTGTGATCAAAAATTCAAAATAGTCTGCAATAGTAGCTGATTTTTATAAATTTTTTTTTGGCCAAAATTCAATACTAGCCGTTTGCTGATCGACATGTTGAGTT